AGCGCAGGCCCTGAGTTCAATTCCCAGTACCCAAAACCAAACCAAAACAAAACAAAGAGCCCAAAGTGTCCAGTTGTCAGCCATAACTTATTAGTCAAGTGGATTCTTGTGTACCCTGGTTAGAGTACACTCCATTTTTCACCAGGACCTCTAATACTATAAAGGTTAAAATTTCAGGTATAGGTATGACAAAGCTTAGGCTGTTTAACAAAATGCCGCAGACTAAGTGGTTTAAACTAAGGAAATTTATTCTCTCACAGTACTCAAGGCCAGACATCAGATATTACGTTGCCAGGATATTCAAGAGGTCTCTCTTCCTGGCTGGCAGATGGCCACATTTTTGCTGTGTACTCACATGGCCTTCCTGCTGAACATGCACATGCCTAGAGAAAGATCTCCCTCTCCTCCCCTTCTTATAAGGCCACCAATTCTTTCGGATCAGGACTCCAGCTGCATGACCTTATTTAACTTTAATTATTTTCTAAAAGCCCTATCTCAAATTCAGTCATACTGAGGGATAGGGCCCAACATAGAAAATTTGGAGGGCACACAATTCACTCCATAGCAAAGGGCATGGAAAGAAATCTCAGGAGTGAGCTGGATAGACTACTCTGAACACTTACACAAATATGTATGCTTCAGTACATATAAATGGAATGTACAACCCCCTCACATGTTTTTTTCTCATTCTATGATTCCCCTTAAGTTCCATCTAATAACTCCCTTGGAGGAGCAGAAGTATCTCATTGTATTACTATGTTTGGAGAGCAGTTTTTGGTCCCTGGTTATCATTCTTAGGGCTTGCACATTCCTTCTTTGGTGATAGCCCTACTTGGTTTTCTTCTACCTGTGTGCAAACCATATCATGACTCTGAGATCCAAAAGATGCAAATAACTATACGCTTACATTTTACTACATCTTATAGTAATACAACTTGATGTCAAACTGATTCATCTTTTTCACTGTCATTGTATTGTGAGTTTTGCTTCTGAGTGTGAGCCTGTTTTTATCACATCTACTAATTTTAAATGTCATTAGATTTATTCTCGTATTTTATTTTATCCCCCATCTATTGGGTTTTAAATCAAGATAGAGATTTTTAGAAGGAGCACTGATGGCAGTAGGGTGAGGGTAAGAATGGCCACCATAGTTTCTGTGTTCACCAGGTTCAGAGAGGATTTACATTCTCAGAGAAACTCATGTACTTTCTTAGGGGAAGAATGCAGTGTTGTTTGGGAATACTTGTAGAAGTTGTTTCCTCATTTGCCAGTATTTAAGCTCCTGTGAGTGGCAGCCAAAGCTTAATTGACTTGTTTAGGTATAATGAATATTTATTAGAAAAATTATAAATCAACTCTTCTGCTATAGGATTGTAGCTCAAAGAAACCACTGCAGGGATAATGTTGGCAAAGCTGCCGGCATAGGAAAAGGATTATTTCCTAGGCTGTCATTGCAGATTCTTTCACATTTTTATAGCTAGGGCATCATGAGTCAACAAATAAGCAAGTATAAATGGCTGGTTCATGACTTCTTATTTTAGAAGTTTAGGATGTTTCTAGCTCTTTATTCCTTCACTCTTAATTCTGGAGGCAGTTTTGATTAATTCTTAGTGCCTTCCCATAGTGTCTCTCAAGAATATACCCTTCCTTCAGTCCAGAATGATAGGGGTGAAATTCTAAGCTCTTATAGTGCCCTTAGATTTAAGAGAAATTTTCCTATTCAGTTCTTAAGTTTTGTGTCCTCTCAGAATTGCATGCAGTTGTATTGCTGTTGAGTTTCATGTTTGCCAAGTGATCTGATAATAAACTGGTGTCAACAGGATGAGGAAAAGAGGGCTAGATATAGCCCCAAGTAGCTGAAAAGTTCATTCCAGTTTTGGAAATTAATTCTCCAACAAATAATAGGTTTTGGTGGTGTTTGTGCTGTAACTGGGTTCTGACTATGTGAAGTAGCATATTAGCGTCTGTTTTGCTTGATTGAGTCTGGATTCTGAGGAATAATGGTTTTACTTCCTACTTCTCAGTTTGTTCTTCTCTATGTTCATTTCTTCAAGTCACAGTGAACTCTTTCTCCCACCTGACAGCAGGAAGACAATTTGCAGCACCATTTCTGCCATGATCATACCAAGGATTCTTTTGAATATATTTGCCTTTCCTGTTTAAAGATTGTTCTTTTGACAGGGTGTGACTAGAGGTGAATCTTAGTATGGCAAGAAAACCAAAGCAGAGCTCAAGAGTCATTCTCCTTTTGTGCATGAGGGAGGGGGGGATCATTTGAAGCTAAAGGCCTATTTGAAGATTTGGTTGGCAAAGCTGACCTTATGTGTAAGCAAAATATATAGCTACCTAGAGTCCAATTTAAGAAACACTGAAAGTACTCTCTTTTGTTTCTCTCTTCCTCCAAGAAGAAAAATCCCAAATACCATCTAAATCAAAATAGTGTTTCATTCTCACCTGCTACTACACCTGAGATTAACTTCTCTGCTGGGATAAGAAATTAGAGTTCCTGTTAAAACAGAAATCTATTATTTTGGAAGATCTGGAAACATCATTTGGTACTTGAACTGATTTCATCAGTCCCCAAGGGGACCATCAGTCTAGTCTAATCTAGTCACTGAATCTGCTCCCTAGAGAATCAATTTTCTTTTGATAGGCTGTTACATGTGTCTTAATTTTTAAAAAAGACAAGCAGATGAAGAATTATTATGAGGTATAAATGATTGGACACTTAGTGAGCATTTCAGAGGACAGTGGAAATGGTAGCAATTATGCTGGAACCTACAGGCCAAGTTGACTGCAGTATGATTATATCAGAATTCTCTGAGAGTTTTCTTTTTCCATTTCTATTTTTCTTCTTCTCAAAGGTTTTATGTTCCTTCCTCTCTAATTCCCTAACTCCAGATATATTTCTTCCTTTATCTCTCTGGAATCTCAACTATATTTTCCTCTTTTCTGGCTCCATTGCCAATCATGTCCTCTCTTTCCTTTCTATTTTCTATGGTCATTATAATATGAAACTGGTCTGCATTTCAACACTTAGTATATTGGATAAAATTGTATTCCATCTTCAGGGTCTAAAAATCAGATGAGACAAACCTTTTATTTCTTCCCCAGAAAGATCTTAAAATCCATGGAGTCCTCAGTTCATTATTTCTTCCTCCACTCTAAATCAGTGACCCTGGGTAGAATAAAATTTTCCCAATGGAGGGGGGAAGGTGACGATGGGTAGAGGAAATAAAGAACGGGAATGGAAGGCCTTAAAGTCAAACTAACCTAAGGTCTTGAATTACGGTACAGTTTGGGCTGAGGAGTCTGAGCCTGATTGAGGTCGCAATCCTTTGTGAAAATCACCAGTAATGTTGTTTCATTGGTAAAGCTTCAGGTGGGAAGTCAATTAATGACTTCTTGGGATCACATCCAAGTGAATTTTAGACAGCTAGTCAAAGAATAGAAGCAGAACTCTTTCTTTACAATTTTATTTACAAAATGTATTAAAACTTTGTACAATACCTCATGGCAATGAGGCTCTGTAATTATGCCCACACATGCAATTTATGCTTTTATGGCCATTAGTTTGCTTGGCAATTTTTCTGTTCACTGAAGTACAGCTTTAACAACAAAAAGAAAAGAATTGGAAAAAAATATCCTCAAGTGAGTACTGCCAAACTCCCATAGCTTGAAGTTAGTAGCAGAAATTTGAAGCAATCAACTTTTTTTAAACATGCAAGTTTTTTAAAAAAATAATAAACCAATTTACTCATTTCGTTATCCCAGTGAAGTTTCCTCTCTGAAAAACTGATTTGAGTCAATAAACATACATTTCTCGTATACAGTGCCTATGAAAACATTTGCCTGTAGGTTGGTTGGCTTGTTTTATACAACTTTGTATTCACACAGCATTAGCTTCTCACACTGGGACATTATAGCATTCATAAGTTGAAAATCACAGTTTCATGAAAACAAAACAAAAACACAAGTTTTCCTTTTTGTTCAATACCATTTAAAATGTGACAAGTGAATTATTCGCTTATGACACAAATTTTGGAATGAAAGTTTATATTACACTTTTCTGAAAATGTTTCGTTGGAACGAGACTTCTTCCTTTCTTTTCTGAAGACAGGAGCAAATATCCAGTGAGTCAACTAAGCATCTAAGGGTCACACTTGGGAAATGAAGGTGAGCTCCTAGTGTTTACAGTCTGGAAACTTCCCAGTGCACGTTACTGATGAGAGCAAACTACTGAACTACAGAAAGCATACGTTGTTATATAGGAGGTAATTAGTGAGCGGAGACTATTTCCTCTGGCTGTTCTGATGATGCCAATGGCAGGTATGCAATTAGTTACTTGATAGCCTGTGGAGCAGTAGATTGATCTTCTGAGAGTCAGTAGAGAATCTGCTCCAAGCAAGGACCTGGAAGTGATGCTGAGGCCCTCAGATTAGCAGTAGGTTTGGGAATGCATTTTAGTCTTTGCAAACTAGAAAAGGACGCATGCAGTTTGATGGAGAGCAGCGGGCAGTAACAGGCAACAGCTGGTAAGATAGACCAAGCGAGTAAAGTCAGATTGAGAACTGTGGTCTGAACCCACTGGCCCGCGTTGCAATGGGGTCCTGTCTCGGTGGTGTACACTTGAAAGGCATACTTAGCAGAGAAAGCAGAGCTAAACACAGTGTTGTTTCTGAGAAAGATACTTTAAACCCATCTGGGAGTATAGGCAGCATTTCCCTCATCTCAATGCTAAATACTCAGCTATATTGACTTAAAATGCACACTGAAGCAAGAAAAACAGATCTGTGAGCTGAAATTCCAGACTTCTTGGAAAGCCCCGGGATCCGTTTTAGGAAAGCACTGAGAGGTTTGCCTGATAGTGCCCCATCCTTTGCTACACACACATTGATTTTAAAAGCTCTATTAATCCCTTTACCAAGTGGGAAGTTACCAAAGCATTTGCACAAAACCATTTCAAGAACACAGAGAAGTCACCGTTTAGTTTCTTTTTCAAAGCATTTGAATTTTCATAAGTGTTGCATTTACATTCTAAAGATATACACATTTCAGCAACATTGAAAGGAAATAGGGTATACAGAATATCACCACCAACAGGAAACACCAAAAACATCTGGTCAGCAGATCCTAGAAGAAATGCCAGTCTGTCTTCCCAAACACAAGGAGACAGATATGTATATATATATATATATATTTTTTTTTTAATCAGGAGGAATTAATTCTTTTAGCTAAGATGAGTGGGCCTATTTGCTAAACTGGAGTTTTAAATTTGCGTGTGTGTGTGTGTGTGTGTGTGTATTAAAGAACATGGTGTTTGTATACTGTGCAGTGGTATCAAAGAATGGCTTTTGTTGAATTGACTTTTTTAGTAAGATTTTTTTCTCAGACTGAAATCTTGCATGTCCATTTTTTTGGTTGGTTTTTATTTTAATTTTTTTCAAGCAAAGCAAAAAGATTTCAATGATGGTTCGCATTTTTGCAAGTCTCAGAATGTTCCATAAGGCACTGAAGGAAAAAAAAAATCAGTTTTTCCTATTGAAAGGTCATTGCACCATCAGCAATATCCGTGTCATGCCCGACACCAAGGTGAGTGAAATCTGGCTCAGGATCCTTGAAGCAGCCACGTTTTCCGTGATTTCCTCTCACTGCATGCCTCCAGTGGGAAAGGATCTGCAAAGGCAAGAGGAAATTTAAATTTGAAGGGGGCTTTCTATTGGGAATTGAGAGATTCACGATGGCTCAGTCTATCTTGGACAAAATATATATCTGTTTTCTCAAATTGGCACTACCAGGCCTGCACCTCATTTGACTAGCCTTAGGCAACAGATCTGGTTAAATTCTTCAGCTTCAATGCAAATGCTTTGCAATAGGTTAAGTTAGGATGATTCTCTACTATGTGCATTGGTTGTACTGAGAAACATACAGGCTTTGCATGAAGTTGAACTCAAGACTTTATTAATTTATGATGTAAGTATACTAGAAATTTTAGTGGCATTTAAATGGAGAGATACAGAAGAACTACACTGAAGAGTGTACACTGATTACAGGGTCTGTGACAAAGCATTGTTTACCTAGCACTGTAGGTGAACAGTATTTTAAGGTTTACTGAGTTGAAATCCATTTGACTGTGAGAGGAAAATCTGCTCATTGATAGAAATGTGACTATTTCTCTTAATACATACAATCTTAGTTCTTACATTCTGAAAATAGCACAAGGACTGTATAGAGACAGCATAGCCCAGAAAGAGGCCAGAGCAGTGATACTAAAGAAGGTGCTCCACATCCATGGAGTCTTCGCCTGACATTATGGGCCTGATTAAAATGCTGCTGGTGGCACCCTTTGGAGGTATTAACTAGTGCAGGGGATTATTTGTCCCTGACTCTGAACACAGGAGATCAGTGTCTTGCTTCCTTTTCAAGCTCATGCTCCCCTCCTCATATTTTCCCCAGAGGCTAACAGAACACTTCTTTTTCTCCCAAGTGAACACTGAATTTAGCCCAAAAGAATAGCATAATCATTATCTACAACTGGCTCTAGAATAAAATATCTGCAAGAAAAGTGTCAAAGATGCATCTGAAGGCCAAAAACCCCAAGGAGGGAAAAATAAAATTAACATGGATGTGGGCCCACCTCTTCCTTGGATCCCCTAAGTCCTGAGTCATATCTCTCAGAGCGTGGAGAAGTTTTATATCTATGGAAGAAAGATAAAAACCCCTTCTCCCCATTGGCTATGGGGTGTCACTATCTAGATGCATGGTTTTGGGAAAGTAACCTAACCCCTCAGGGCCTCTGTTTCCTTTTTTAAAATAAGAATAAATGAGGTATTATCACTAAGGTAAAAGTTCTCTGGAAAGAAAAAATATCACCACCCCAGGTTTACCCAGAATTTTGTTTCCACTTTGACATAAGATGAGCTCTTTAAGCTGGAGAAGGAAAATTTCCCCAGCAAGAATGCATATGCATAAGGTACAGAAGGAAAATCGATCCCTTTGAAAATGAGCCCCATGAACAAAGTTAACATTTCTTAAACAGAACTGTCATAGAAGAAAAATGGAAATGTTTCACCAGACTTCTAGCATATTGTAGTCTTGTCTATGAGAGGGATTTCAAAAATATTGTTGAAGAAGCCAAAAAAAGTCACAAGTAGTTCTGAATACCAGTGAGGAAACTGGAAAGAGTTTCTTCAAATAATGAGCAGGGTCAACTCTAGGATGCAGTAAATCTGGAACACTTGATGGTAGGTCACTTGCCAAAGCATGTGGTCCAGGGAGGCGGGGGGACACTTCCAGTGACTGGTCAGAAACCTGGAGAGTTATTAGGTAGTCACGAGGCTGTCTAATCTCTCGTCGGTGCTAAAGAATATCTGAGCCTGAGGCACACATGCCTGTGAGTCCAATAATCCTGATGGTACTATCACCAATAGAAAATGAGAGATGAGTCCTTTGTCTTTCAAGGATGCCCTTTTGTTAACTAGATTTCATGTGTCATACTCTTGCCAGTGAGTTACCCTGAGTTATTCTTCCGCAACAATTACTAGCACTACAACTCTCCCAGACAGGCTTTGATAATCAGCAATAAAAGTAAAATCTCAGGATGCCTCTCTGTCTTTGTGTCCCTGAAGAGACCCTGACAGATCTAGGCCAATTCAGAGAATTGGAAGCCTAATATCTAGATAACAAATTAGAAGTTTCTAGGAGATATTTTAGAACTTTGTTGGAAATAAAAAATGAATGGGTGAAGAGCTCATTCTTCATTGAACCAGAACTCCCTTAAGGATCACATCACCAAATTGGCTGAGGACAGGAGATTTCTGTTTCTTGCTCAGTCTGCTTTATACCTCTTGACTGACACATGTGAGATTTTTCTTGGCATCTTCTGAGGCCTTTCCTTCTCATCTGGGGGCTTCACACAGACTTGGAAGACAGATTTGTTTGCAGAAGCTCTTCCCAGGTTTTCTTATCATCTCAGAGATGGGTGCCAAGGTGCCAGCTAAATGGGCTCTAACCACATTGACATCAGTGTCTATTCTATGTGACTTTTGTCTCAATCAGCCTGAATTTTGCTTCATAAAAGTGGGTCAACCAGGATGACTTAAAGAAGTCCAGAGAGTCAGAAGTGTGGCAAGTTAATTTCTGAGGCAATTTTTTTTCCAGTTTGATTGGCCTCTACTTTAAGACTGTAATGTTCTGTTCAAACAAAGGATTGCTGATTCAGCTTTCCCTTTCTTTTCTTTTTCTTTTTTTCTTTTCTTTCTTTTATCTTCTTTCTTTTATTCTTTCTACTTTTTCTCTTTTGTTCTTTTTCTTTTATTCCCTACCTCCCCCTCTCTCCTTCCTTCCTTCCTTCCTTCCTTCCTTCCTTCCTTCCTTCTCTCATCCTTCTCTTCATTTTCCTTCCTCCTTCCTAGAGAATAGGATCTTCATGACCTGGAACTTGTGAAAAGTGTAGAATTTTAGGCCTTATTATAGATCCACTGAATCAGGACCTACAATTTTGTAAGATCACCACATGATTTATGTGCATGCTAATGTTTGATGAGCACTGCTCTTGGGCTTTAACAAGAGATCCAAGCTATAGTAGTTGGGAAGTAGGGACGTAGATTCTCAGATAGAATAGCGATAAATAGTCTGGAGGCTATGTGATCCTGAGCCCTGATATGTTTCTGTTTCAGAACGATCCTTTCTGGGGAAAATAGGAGTACTCAAATATATGGTCTTGGGTGGAAGAAATGAGACATACAGAGCCTTCATGAACTTCAAGATTTTTTTGAGGGGGTAAAGTGGGGCATAAACTAAAGATTTTCTTTCCATCTGATAAGATTCCATTTGAGTTTTAAATTTCTTCAAGGTCTATAGGCCATCAGTATTTACAGCATGGTTTAATAAAGAATATAGTTACAGGAGGAAGAAGGGCTGAGTTTTAGAGTCCCAGAGTTACCACTACCTAATTGTATTGTCTGCAGTAAGTCACTCGATATGGCTGGGTTTTATACTGAAAAGGGAAAATACTACCTGACCCATCTTATCTCAGATGATGAAATGGATGTGAGAACTCTTAAAAAATTGCTACACAGATTTAAGGTGTATTATTTATTTGGATACTAACATCTCAAAAATGGGGATAAATTAGATTGAAATCGCTCATGTACTATCCTACAAATAAAGCAAATAATGTGCCCCTAACTATAATGAGCCTACATCAACCTACTCAAAAGTAAAACATTTTAAGTACAATGAACATTAAATGCTTGCATGTAAACAGTGTTAGTTATAGATGAAAACATGTGTCCAATATTCCCTAATGGCAGGGGAACACTGTCAATAGGTTAGTTCAGTGTACTGAATATGTTGAGGCAAATGGCTGCAGTAGGACAGGACAGCCAAGAAGTTCATCAAACAAGATGATTCCCATGGTGAAGACAAATGACTTATTTGGATGAAATGTTTTAAAATTGGCTGAATTTAGAATCATGATGTGAAATACAAGAAATTCAAAGAGAAAAATGTATTAGTAGAAATTCTAGCACATTGACATTTACTCACAAGGTCAAAATCACTCACCTAAAATAAAGGGTATAAAGTTGCTAGTTCTGTTCCACTTTAGGTAAGCATGTTAGTAATGACAGATGCACTTGAAAGTAATTAGACTATTTCTTTTAAACACTTCCAGAAAGGAGACATTATCCTAACACAAGGCTGCCTTTGAATATGTCTCAGTTATTGGTGGGGTTTGACTGTAGCTGACAGAGTCAAGGTGACATTAGTCAGGGCCACTCAAGTATTAATTTGGGTTTGGCCAGCATCAGTGAGTCTAGTCTGTCCCTTGAGAGACACAGTTTTAAGGAAAGAACAACAGCAGAACTCAAAGATGAAGAAAATTGTTTCAGACTTAACTACTTACTTAGAAGAACCACAGCTCCCTAATGGGAGTGTTGAGGTGACAGGGCCTTATGGCTAGTCCTAGTTACAGCACCAGTGTTAGAGCAGCTCCTTTCCCTAACAGGTACACTGTCCAATGTTGGAGCCATTGGTTGCATGCAACTGCTAAATATTGAATATATGTCTAGTAGCAGGTGAGATAGACCCAAAGTATGCAAAATAAAATGTACTCCAGATTTCTAAGATCAATATGAATAAAAGAATGTAAAATAGCTCATTCATTTTTAATATTTTTGTTTAATTGATAACATACTGAAATGATAATATTTGAAGATATTGGTCTAAATGAAATATGTCATTAGAATTAATTTCAACTACTTTTCCAATGTGATTACTAGACCATTTGAAATTATACATGGGGTTTGCATATGTGTCTTGCATGTATTTTTATTTAACAGTACTGCTCTAGAGAATTTTTTTCTTTTACATCACAGATCACATTTGTAATTACACCTATGCTATTAGAAAAGTACTGCTACCTGACAAGAAAGGTCAATCATTGTTTCGAAAAATTGAATGGTTGCAAAGAAGAGACAACACTTAAAATAAGAAACTAAACTAAAAAGAGAAAGAAAGAAAAAAAAGAGGTCAACATATAGTCATGTAAGGCTGATTAGTTTACTAGACCTTAACCGTACCCCTAGATCTTAACACTTTCTGTTCCATACACGTTGTAGCCTTCTCTGTATGTAGCATAATTCTGAGTGTTGGTGGCAGGAGCAGGCTTAAAGTTTTGGGTGTTCTTTGTGAGTTTCATGCGTTTGGACTCTGCCCGAGATTTGTAACAGAATTCTATCAAAGCCACCATCATGGCCAGCCCCAGACCTCCGACAAGTATATAGAAAACGCCTGCCACATTGCTCAGGCTCAGAGCGCTCGTCTTGTCCTAAGAGAAATGAGCAACACAATTAGTTCTTGGGCAAAACAAAGGCAATGGGACATTATAATACATTACAACAGTATAGGATAGTTCTAAATTGAAAATAACTAAATATTGATGTAAGTGGTATGACTCAACTCTGGCAACTGGCTAATGTTTCACAATGACCAGCAAGAAGGTATATTGTGCTTCTGTTGACAGTTTTGATCCTTACCTAAATAGCTTTTTATTTTTCAGTCCTTATGCCCCTTTAGTACTTAAAACTGGTGTTCAACAACTAAATAAGACAGCACTTGGTCATGGGAACAAAACAGTAAACACAAGCATAATTTATCCCACTGCTAATCTCAACAAACACCATTTTCCAGAGTTGAGCTGTGGCATAATATCTACAAATGTAACACTCTTTTCATTTGGGAACTTGAAGCACTCTTTCCTCTCTCTGCCCCGCAGCACCCCTTTCTCCCTTTTTCTCCTGGAGACCACCTTTGACAACTAGTCTTTAAGATATTTGGTGAGAATAGTAAAAGTTTTTGATATTATTGTCTGGAAAGTTACTCCACCAGGGTTTGTTTAAAAAGGGTTAACTTTCCTCTTTCCTCAGTGACTGAGAAATTGCTCCCTTTAGGCATTGGTTGCTAGGTTCTCATCCTAGTCAAAATCAGGGCAGCAAGACTTTGTACTGCTAGAACAAAGGTGTAGCACAAAGAATTGGCTCTGTTCCATTTTCCTGAGAGCTTAAGGTATCTGTCAGGAGGACTCTTTGGGTCCTGGATTGGCTCCATACAAATCAGAAAGCTTTTCCAGGAGGCTGATGATTAAAAAAAATTCCAGCTTATTTTCAGCTTTTACTCCAGAGAATGTAGAGAATAATTTAAAAAAAACCCTACACTTAACTTCTTTCTGTTTAACATGGGGGGAAAATCGAGGAAGCCGGTCAGTGACTTTCAGGTCAAACTACAAATCTGACTAAGCTATCTGCCTGTATGAAAAAGCAAAAACTGAACTGCTGAATGATGGAAAGAAAAAAGTTGGTGTCTTGAGCCCTACCTTGAGGTAGGACACACCAAGGACCAGGAGTCTTTCTTTGAAAAAAAAATAGCATTTTGTAGTCTTTTTAGAGGGAATGTAACCATTTTGCTGCTGAATGTAACTGAACAGAATACCTAAATTTTTAAGCCAGTGAATTTTGAGCATCTTGTTTAAATGATGTCAGAATGAGCAGATGATAGCCATTGCTGACCCTTAACACTGTTGTTCAACTAGTCCTGTTGTATTTAAAGAATCAAATGGAAAGGCAATATGGCCATGTTCCATGTCCTTCTGATCCTATTTTCAAAGGAGCCAGTCCTATATTTGTTTGCCTCCAAAAAGGCTAATTGAAATTGAATCACATTCACTAAGGGCGTGTTGGGATGCCTTGTGTCCACAACAACCTTGCAGATAGACACTGTGCTAAGACAAATGAAAGCTGAGTGCTAAGACTTTTTGTCAATTGGGAAACAATGAATCATCTCTTTAAGGAGGCTGATGAGACTATCTGCAAGGATGTTCCACAGTCTATTAGGAAATGGAACAATTTCTGGTAACCCTCCCTCTGCCATCATATTTGTATATGTAGATGGTATTTAAAAGGTGGGGGGAGTGGTCCTTTAATATCACCCATGAAAGCTGTAGCAACAAGAAAAGTTTCAAGTTCCACATGTTTAAGTTTCACAGTAGTTATAAAATTCCCTGGTGTGGGGTGTAGAAGACCAGGAGCAAAATGGTTCACTGCACGGGGAAAATGAGTGGAATTTCATGAAATGAATTAACTGATACCACAATATTAGTTCAAAAAAAGGAAAAGGCAAAAATTGAAACTAAAAAGAACTTTCTTAGGGGAGCGAAGGGGGGCAGGGAGGAGGAGGGGAAGAGTGTTTCATGCTTATCAATGTGATGTTATCCTGACAATGTACACCCTTAAGGAGCATGCGACTAAATTTTAAAAGTGTTTCACACAGAGATTCAAATGAGACCTTTGGAGAGAGAAGTGTGACAGACTTAATGAGCTTTGAGATCCAAATAGATACTGAACTCAATGTGACAGCAGCTGGGATGGAGCTAATAGCTGTACTTACAGAGACCAGTCCTTCTTTGCTTTCAGATGGGATATATGTAATATATTAATATCAAGAACCAAAGATATTTACAACTACAAAGTCTCTGACATTGTAAGAGGTTAAGTAAAAGCACTGTCACGACTGGATCTTTTTTTTTTTTCTTTTGGTTGTTGTTGCTATGTTTTCTCTTTGCACTTTTGAAATGTGGAAAACAGTAAAACCCCCTTATAACACAGCTTATTATTTTAAGCTTTAGAGTGCAGTGGGCCACATTGAGTTCCCTCATCATCATAACAGCTCTGCAGAGTGTACAGTTGATGTCATGGGGCAAGCCTCTGGGGCTGGCGTTTGCCGTATTCCTTTAGCGCTGGTGTTATAAAGGGGTCCCACTGTGACAGGGAGTGTGTGTTGGGAAGGAAAGCCGTTTGGGGGTAGAAAAGAAACAGTGGGTCAAAATGTGATTGCTAATCAGTACAAAAAGACCTTCAGCGACTGACCTTACTCCCGGAGTCCTTGGCTCCACATTCCCCCTTATCGTACCACCATTTGTTTTTCAGCTTGTCTAAGATGCCTTGTTCACTGAGTTTCAATACTGCAAGGTTTACAGGCGTTCTTCACGTGGGAAATAACATAAATAACATTATATTATGTTATTTTATGTTATTCAAGCTTTAAACTACTTTAAAACTATAGAAAGCGATAAAGCAGGGGGCCCTGGCCACAGAGTAATTTTAGACACTGCAGGCAACCTGAGCATTACCTTATAAAAAGTTAACACTACAGCAACGCTATATTTACCAGGGCCTGCCCATATCGCTTTGAGTAATCGGCACACACTGTTAAATAATGAGGATAGAAAAAAAGGCACTCCTCAGATAGGCTGTGTGTGGTGAGGAGGGTCTCCCCTCAGGTGACAATTGTCGGCGGCAGCTTACAGTAGCTTTGTGACAGAGGCACGTTAGGTTTGATCTAACTGGGTGTCTTGTTGTACTTCTAGACAGAAAGCAACTTTTATGGGGGAGCCAGGAAGGGGATGGTGCCAGAAAAGGAAGCATTTCCATATTGCGGACTGACAAATGCGTGAATCTGAACAGAAGCTAGATTCTACCTGAATCACATGCCTTCTTGTCTCTTACTACACAAATCTGTTGCTGAGCTGAAAATGATCTCAGAAAGAATTGTATGATATATATGTCCTCATTTCACAAACATGTCTTCTAAATTCTTAGGCACACAGTGATCTTAGTGTTAAAGGTATAATGTGGACATCTGAATTTAGTTAAGAGGAGTATTTTTAAAAGTGGAAAAACTGGCTTATGCACTGTTTTCTGAGTTATTACCTGTCTTTCTGATGTGGTGATATGTCCATGGTTAACTCAGATCACCAGGCAGTGGGCCAGATTGTTTCAAAACAGAATTTATAGGGCATGATATAACATGACAAACTAACTCTGCCACTGTTGGGTAGCACTGGAGAGGAACAACTTAGGTAAGTTCTCCTAGGAAGATAAGACCCCCTCAACTGAGAGGCTGATGCAGTCCCAGGAGGCCAAGACACTGCTCCTTAGTCCTTCACTGCTTAAAGTATAAGGACTGTATTTGGAGCCATGGGGCAAATGGGTGCAACCTTACTGGCCCTAGGATAAAGATTTTCTCTTTCAGAGATTTCTTCAGCTGCAAAATAGGACTAATGACCTCTCTTCTTCCTAGAGATATTGAATTTTAAATGGAGAATCTGTAATAGTTTTGAGTAAAAACTGCATTATTAAAAGGGTGGCATAAACCACCATTATGAAGCAATAAAATGTGTTCATATTCATGTGAACAATATTGCCAATAGTAGTGCCTGGTGGTCTGAATGTCACTAATTTATCTTTTTTTCCCCATTAAGTTTATTGGTACATTTTAGGTATAAAATACATTTATATTCATCATTGGGATCTTGTACCATTACATGAGTATCTTGGTTCTTATTTTTTTTCCCCTTTCCTTGCCCTCCCTTCACTGAATGTCACTAATTTAAAAGGAAGATATCAGACAAATTTTTGCAACCATGAACATGCCATAAAATTTCTTGGCTTATTTTGGGTAAGTTGGACCCACTAACTGACAAGAATTCCTATAATCACAAAAATCTGACCTTGACCATACCAAGTTCTAGTGACTATTTCCTTTCCTCCTCCATTTGCTATCAAGAGCAGAGGGGCCATCTCATCTGGAGATATGTATCATCACTTAAAAATAGTAAACAATTTCAGAATACTTGAGATTTGACAAACTATAAGTCTTTAGTGTAGGGGGATGACACTTCCTTGATTAGTGCAGGGTCTGGCAGATGAAATATCAGCATTCTATTTCTTACAAGGAAGTTGGAGCCCTTCAGTGAATCCTCAAACCCCTAGCATTCTCAAAGGCAAATCAGAATAGCTTGGAATACAAAACAATAAAACTGAAGCTCTAATATATTTTTTGTCAGTGAAAGTGAAACTTTAGGATTTATAAAGGCCAGACAGGCCATCTATGGCCCTGAGATCAATGTTGGAGCTGCCTTCTACCCTACTCACACCATCTGCACCCCGCCACTCTCTCCCCCACTTCCTTCCCATATTATTTCAACCACTGCCTTCCCAATGCTATCTCTTAAGCCAGGCGGTGGCATGAAGCTCAGCATGTGCAAGTTGGCTCAGGATGCAGGTCAAAGGTGATTTCCAATGACATAGAGGTGACCTGAGCTCATCAGGACCACAGGAAAAAGTACAAAGCATCTTCTTCTTCCTTTCTGTATTTCCTCCTTTTTTTATTGTAAAGGGCCCTGTGCTGTCAGACAGCTTCTTGCTAAGCCCTGACCAGGCCCCATCATTCAAGGTTCCATTCAGTTTCTTTAGTACTGCTGCTTTCACTAGGTATTAGGTACAGAGCAGTCTGATTAAAGGTATTCACATTAGGGCCTGAAAGAGGGGTGTTATTCTTTAGAGATCTTGGTTTTTAAAGGCATTGTTAATCCTTAAGTGAGCTAGTTTGATAGAAGTATAACATGTTAGTTTAAACAGTGATTTTCAAAGTGTGGTCTAGGAACCCCTGGGGGATATTTGAAACCCTTTCATCAGAGGGTCCGTGAAGTCAAAACTTTTAATAGTAATATTAAGACATTACCTGGTCTTCTCCCTATTATTCCCTCATGATGTATAGTGAAATTTCCTGGAGGCTACGTGATGTGTGACATCACAACAGGTTGAATGAGAAGACAGAAATGAGAATCTCATTCTCTTTTATGTTTAAGCCTGATATTAAAGACATTTGCAAAAATATAGGCCAATAACACTCTTGTCAATTATTTCTTTTGTTTTGGAAAAGTATAATTGTTTCCATAAAAAGGATATTATTCATGTTAACATATTGGGCTTATTACATTTAGATGAATGAATGAGTACTTTAAAATTTTTCAGTTTTCATTTCTGATGTGGTGAATATTAATAGCTATAACACATAAACAAAATCTTTTCTGGGTTCTCATTTTTTTTTTTGGAGTATAAAAAGGATATGGGACAAAAAGTTTAAGAAGCACCAGTTTTGGAGGAGGGAAGAAAAGTACTAGGGGTATATCCTGGGCTGCCCTCATATACACTTTTGCCAAAACCCAGGGTTAGTACATCAATAAGCAATTTGGTATCTTACTTCTGGCCTATCCCTGGTTTGCCATCCAGTGGCTTTCACAGAATGGCTGGTAGCTGCTCTCCACTCCCATGTCCTCTACAGTGACAGGGGAGGTTACTTTAGAGCAATGGTTCTCAACTTAGGGGCTTTCTGTCCTCCAGAGGACATTTGCCAGTATTTGGTGTCATTTTTTGTTATTATGACTGGGTGGGGGAATGCTATAGGCATCCAGTGGGTAGAGGCCAAGGATGCTGCTACATATCCTATAATATACTGGAGAGCTTCAACAACACAGAATCATATGGCCCCAAATGCCAATAATGCTGAGGTTGAGAAAGCAGGCCTCAGAGCATCCAGATCTCCTCTGGGATACCATAGGATGTTAGAGAACTCTGACAAATGGCATTCTCTTAGAAATGTGTCTCTGAATGGAAAATAAAATCACGGGGTTTGTGAAAACTGGCAGGGAACCAATGTGAATTTGGGAACTTCTAAATAAAAATGAGGGAAGAAAACAAACAATTCAAGTAGCAGCACAGCCAAGAGCATATAAAAACTGTAATCAGAAATCACAAATAATACCACTTAACAAAGTTAGGATAGCTGCCAAGTAAATGAAATACTTTAAATGCTAAAGTTTGTAGAACTCCATCTTGCTGTGGTATAGACTAAATTTCCAAGATGGCAGAGAAAAACTGCTTTTATCTACACAATGTTTTCTCTTGCTGTAGCTTATTAAGCATATTGCCTAGCCCAAACCAAATCAACTGAATGTTTTGATATTTTCTCCAGCAACACACACACACACACACACACACACACACACACACACACACTAGTACTTTGAAGAAAAGGAAATTAGGTGAGCATTTGGTCATTTTAAATGTCACTTTCTCCATGAAGCCATTTTTGCTCTTCCAATATTTTCTCTCCCTGCCATCATCCTCTGTCTTGTTTTATTATTTATGTCAATGTCTGTGACTCCCACTAGACTGTTTGCTTTTCAAGAGCAGGGACCAGGGCTTATGCATCTACATTCACGGTTAAAGTACTTTTCTCAAGAAATATATGCTAAATTGATAACTGTCTTTTAGCTTGTTAAAGTTTTTCAACCTATTACCTTTAATGATTATTAAATTATAATAATCAAGTTTAATGATCATGCTAAGAAGGTAAAGTTATGGTCTCCCCCTACTTAATAAATAAAGAAACTGAGGCACAGATAGGTTAAGCAATCTGCTCAAGCCACTACAGCAAATTATGGAGCAGGCCAGAAGGCAAATTAATACACATTGCTCTCCACGCATTTTCCAGTGGAACACAAAAAAGGGTAGTGGCTGCCCCTAATTCTGTTCTTCAAGCTTAGATGTTCACAATTATTATTATTTTTTTCTTTAGGGATCTCGCTTCTCCAAATAACTATCAATTTAGCAAGGGCATATTTTGCAGCTGAGGCCTTTTACTGTGATCCAGCAATATTTTTCCAGGTAGTATTTCAAGCAATTACTGCAGGCCCTTAACTGGTACCTGAGAGAATTATGAGTCAGAAATATTTATTGTATTCACTTCAATGGAGAACAAAAAGAATTAAACAAAGTAGGTCAGATGGCTATCATGGAAATTAGCCAAGCATTTCCCCCCTGAAGGGCTTGCTATAGATTTTTTCTGACTAGATCCCTCTTAAGACAAAGTCATGGGTCAGCAAGCTTAGAGAGAAAAGAGGAGGACTTTGTGATTTAATTGTAAGGGTCTGGGAATGTCTCCCCTTCCAAATTGTTTTCTTAATTGATACCTGAGATTCTACCATGAGACTTTCACATCTGTAAGTTTGAGGAACATGCATTGTTGAAATACAAGTCTTCCTGATAAATGGGAAATGAAGCAGAGTGTAACTATTTGCAAATAAAAACTCTTTATTCTGTTATATTTTAAAAATGTTTTGGGGGTAGGGAAAGAAT